AGTGTCTGCAGAGGCGCTGAGTCTGCGGAGAGGGTGTGCCGAGGTCGCCGGGGCTCCCCGCGGGGGTGTCTGCCGAGGGGACGAGCCTGCGGGGGGCAGTCTGCTGGAGCGCTGGAGGATCTGGGGCTCTGCAAACGGTTAGAGTAGGGGGGACATCATGGGGCGCTCTGCGGGGGTGAAGAGAGGTCTTGGGCCCGCAGATGGAGGGAAGGGGCGGGGACACGTGCGAGAGAGGTTGTGCGGGAGAGCCCAGCCAATATTAGGGCGAGGGGAATTTGGTCAATGGGTTTTGAGGGTGACCTTAGGGAGTGTGGTTCAGATCGCACAAGGGGCATAATCTCCCAAACCCCGCACGGCTCCTTCCCGGGTGCGGTAAGCAGCAGGAGGCCCGCAGGGTCTTGATACACATATGTTCCCATTACTAAGTCACTGGCTCTGGAATGCAGCGGGCGCAAAATGCCACTAAAACGCAGACGCTGTTTGACTGCCTCTCCGCCCGACTAGGTGCAGGGCTGTGTCTGTCAGGCTCATATCACCATATGCGCAGGTTATTTTAAGTTCTGAAGGTGTCAGTGGCACAAGGGAATTTCTTGAAGGCTCCTAATAGACCCTTCGTGTAAAGCTGTAAACAGCTAAAGGTCCTAATGTGGGAGTTAGGTCGTGTCTAAATGGAATAAAAACAGCCTAGGGTTATATCTTTTGTCATCTGGCAAGCAGTTCTGACATCTGCCCTCTGAACACAATGACCTGCTTAGCCATTCCAAGCATCTATATCCTGATAATTAAATTGTTACGTTATTAAACGGCTGCCTTTTGGACAGAGGGGTGTGCAATGCGAGGGACTATTTTGCCTCATTCCTAGAAATGTGTTAGGAGAGAAATATTCTAAAGAGCCGGGTTCTGTTGCGGGTGCCTTTTTTGGGCGGTTTACCTAGCATCCCGGCCCAAGCGAGGATCTACCCTAGCTTGCTTGCCGAGCAGTAACAGACAATACGCGTGTTCCTAAAATGAGAGCAGTTTGGGGGAGCTTACTTTGCCCATTTATTTTGCAGCTTTTAGGTAGTTGACATGCACTCCAAGTCTCACATTGTAATAGTTCTCTTTTATCAGTTATGCTTTGCTACTGAGATTGTCTAGGGAAAGAACTATTCCTATGTATTCCTACGTGCTCTGGGTGGTTTTAGATTTACTGTGGAGCATTTTACTGTTATTGGTTTGGCAGTGTGTGTGAAGACAAGCAAGCTCTGTCAGCTTCTTATGATTAAATATACACCTGGAATCAAGGTCTGGGAGGATGTGCCCTATTGCACTGAAAATTTCAACCATGGCACTTGGAAATGGAGCACATGACAGAGAGGGGTTAATACCACAAAGGGTTGATGGCCTTCAGAGAGCAAGAAAACAACAATCATGGGTGAGGATTAGGTTTATTCAAGAAAGAGTTCCTGTAAGTGGTAAGTTTTCAGTCTTTAAGGAAGGGCATGGTTGCGGATAATTATTTTAAAATCTGGCTATTAGGGTGTAATTTACACATAGCAAAATTCACCCTTTTTAGGTGAGTTTTGACCAATGCATAGCGTCTGTCTAGATTTGAACACTGGTTCCTCCATCTTACTTGGGCAAGTTGCTTAAACTCCTAGGCCTCAGTGTCCTCTGTAGAATGAGGGCAGTAAAAGTATCTGCCTGTCATTGCGAGGATTAAATTGGTTAGCACATTTAAAGCATTTGTAACAGTAGCGTTCCCTAGCACATAAGGAAGTTTTCAGTGAATGTTAAGGGTCACTGCTACTGTAGGTTGTTGTGATGATTGTTTTTAGATTGTCATAATTGACATCCTCAGGTCAGAGAACATACAACCCACCTGTATTGAGTGTTGGCTGTTTACTAGATAAGTGATCTTGAGTAAATGACTTAAATCTTCCTGAGCCTCTGTTTCCTCCTCTATAAAGTTAAGTGTCATCGCAGTTAGTACCTATGTGTTAGGGTTGTTGTGGGGAAGATTAAATAAGACACTATAGGTAAGTTGAACTTAGCACAGGGTCTGGCTCGTCCATGGTCATCACCCCCCTGGCTTAGTGATGGGTGATAACGATGGTGACAGTGATGGTGATGATGTGAATGGGGTGAGGAGGGCTAGGAGACTGTTGTGATAAACCAGTCATCTTATAAGGCAGTCAACCAGGTTGTGCAGTGGAAAGAGAAAGGAAAGGGCAGGCCTGAGGTGTGGAGAACCTATTGTCTGAAGTTAATGACTGCCAAGAGCAGGGAAGGGGGAGACGGGGAATGAGACTAACAGTGACCTGGATTTGGAAGGACTGGCCCCGAGGAGGGGCAGTAGAGAAGGGGATTTGGGAGAGTTTTCTTCAAAGGTAAGGCCTATGCCTTTTTGTCATATTGGGTCTTAGAAGCCCGGCACATGTCCGTTTGGAGTTTGTCACAGAGACAGCTGGAAAGAGCATGTGCTTTCTGGTTCAGAATAGGAGTCATTTTTGCCTTGGCAGTTTGCTCTGATAGGTGGTGCTAGTGTTGTATTTTTGATCACACACAGAGAGAAATGCTTCCTGGAAGTACACCTTATTACATCTTTGGAAGAAAAATATCCGGAGAAAAATGCAGATGTGAGAGTCGAAGGGTCTGAATTTGCCATTCAGGATAAGGGGCTGTTATTAAGATACAATCTCGCCCTTTCTCTCTGTTTGGGGGGGTACAGGGGAAGAAGTAATGCCCCTATTTGTTTCCAAGTTAGGTAAATAATGGTCTTTCCACCCTTTGTGTAAACATATTTTGGGGAGGGGGCAGTGCATATGTGTAGGCAAAGGGTATAATCCAGGCGTGAACAGTTTCTAAGAAATTGAATTGTAGAGACTTATTCCTGAAATATACCTATGAGTTAGCTAGTCTAATCTCATGGTACAGATGAGGAATATAAAGAAAAGTTGCTCACCAAGGTCACACAACTAGTAATGGTGACCTGAAGGTTGTTTACAATGCTGGATTTGACACAGCTGTAGCATATATGCAGCTGTATGTGCACACACACACCCTTGTATGTTAAGGGTGCAAAGGTAATTTAAAATATTGCTAGAAGAGGAAGAAATGATGATGGTCAGGCCTAGATTCTCATGGTCCCTTCCAAGGTCACTGTCCTGCCACTTTGTATCCAGCTGTGGCTTATTTATTGCCATGCCTTCATTCTGACATAAACTCCTAGTCCTCATCTGCTAAGAGTATTTTCTTATATTAGTTTAGCATAGCCATCATTATAAGCCAACCCATGATGGAGGGATAAGGTGGTCTCAAGAGGAACTGATGTAGTTATCCAAACTGAAGTGCAGGATTGTTCTCTTTTATGCCCCTAGAAAAAAAGCAGGGAGCAATTTCTTATTTTTTACTCTCAATGACAAATACTCTCTGTAGAATGTTGCCTTGCAAGCTTGGGAGAGAGACTGAGATTGTGTCTGCATAAGTGTGTATGTGTAGTGGGGGGCTTCTTTTGGTAGTTTTTATATACTACAGCTGGCATCTTGTGAGAGCCGAGTTAACATGAGCTAACCAAAATAAAATTCATCTTTGCTCCCAAGCTCTGAGAAGGAATCCTCATACTAAAAGCTGAAATGTCTCGTCCTGATGTTCTTCCCATGAACCATAGCACTGCTCTCATCACAGGATGCTTGTTGCAGGCCCATTGGAGCCAGGTGCCCCCAGGTGCCTTTTACACCATCCAAGTTTAGAATACAGCCTCCCGGTGTCAAGGTGATGCACACTGAGCTCTACTGACTCCAGAAAGCTGGGCATGGGTTAGCTTTGGTGGAGCTGAGAGATTGCACTTGCTTAAGGGCAGATGTGTTAGTTACATGGTTTGCTTCCTTGAAACATACAAACAAAGGTTTTGGTTCTTTGGAAGGCTCTAACTGGATATGTGATCCATGAGTTGTCTTAAGGCAAAGAATTGAAAAGAATTGCACTGCAAATTTGTACATTTAATGTGTGTGTGTGTGTTTGTGTTTGGGGGGTTTTTGCCCCCAAAAGTCTTTAAATCATGGTGCATCTTAGAGTCCATGACACCAGAGAATAAAAAGCATGTATGGTGAAACATTTGGATGATGTCTGTGTATGTGGGTTATCCCCATTCTATAGGGGTCTTGTCTCATTTCAGAATGTGTCGCTGTACTTGCCGTCCTGCCTGTCGGGTCTCCTATTCCGATAGTGAGGTTGTCGCTGCACCATGCTGCTTTGTGTTGCTGGACATGGTCGGGGATCTTGGCTGCTAATTCTGGATTGAGGGTGGGAGTTGATGTCATACTGACTGATCTTCTCTTGTCGCAGTGCACGAAGGCAGCCCTCTGGGTGAGCTCCATCGCTGCATCCGGGAAGGGGTCAAGGTCAACGTTCACATCCGCACTTTCAAGGGGCTTCGGGGCGTCTGCACAGGCTTCCTGGTCGCATTTGACAAGTTCTGGAATATGGTAAGTAAGCCTTTCCCAGGGGACTAGAGGACCTCCTGGTGATCAAGTCTTTTATATGACCAAAGGACCTGGGTAACCTGATTAAGCAAAACCCACAAAATAACTTCTCAGAAGAACTAGAGTCTTTGCAACAAGACTTAAGCAACAACAACAAAAAAGTCTTTTTACTGCTTTCTTTTCTCAGCCAGGCTATATTGTTCTCCTTCTCTCCCAGGAGCATTTGGCAATGTCTGGGGACATTTTTTGGATTGTCAGCATCATGGAAGGGGGTGCTGCTGGCAGCTATTGGGGAGAGACCAGGGTTGTTCTAAGCCCTGTAATACACAAGCTAGTCCTGCAGCAACAGTCCAAAATGTCATTAGTGCCAAGGTTGAGAAACCCAGCCTTAAGGAATAATTATTTCATCTGTTTAGTAATTTTAAATTGATTTTCTACCCACCAGTGTTTCATTCATTTAAAAATATTTATTGACTTCCTACTTTGACTGAACTCAGTGCTGGTACAGAAGTTTCAGAAAGGAACTTCCACTCTGCCATATTGGGGAGAATAGATCAGATTGAAGTGAACAGGCATTAATATGTTGAGGTTCTATACCGTGTTTCCTGATGAAGGAGTGTACCCACCCCAGCTTTCAAGAGGCGTGTGCGCGCACTCTTTCTCTCTCTCTGTCTCTTTCTCTCTGTTCTCTCTCTCTCTCTCTCATCTAACATCTGTAGGAGAGAAGGGATATGTAATGGGTAACTATAATAAGAGAGTTAAGAGCTACCAGCCTTCCAGTGTTTCTCTGGCACATGGTCCTGCCTCTCCCATTATCCTTTCCCCTGTGCCTTATTCCTGTGCACGTATCCTTCTGGACACAAGCAGTAGTTGCTAACGTGATTTGAGCTCTTGCATCACGTCAGGCACCATAACAAGGCTTAATACGTGATCTCAGTGATTGGGCCATAGGTACTATGGCAGTTCCATTTCACAAGTGAAGAAGTGGTGTCCAGAGAGACCAGAACACTGGCTCTAGATCACACCGTTAGTAAGAAGAAGTGGAAGACTTTATCTGGGGTCTTTCTGACTCCTAAGACCATGTTTTCAGCCACCATGGAGAGTAGCCTTGGCTTTGTATTTTAATAAACTTCCTAGGTATTTATGCACACTGATCTAAGAACCTCTGCTGTGCAGCCGTAAAGGCCCTTGCATACGTGGTGGAAGCACCCCCTCTTACGTGGTGGTGGCAGCTTGAAACACTATGCAGAAGGCACCAGGTGTTGCCATGTTCTTCTGCCCAAGAGCTGAGTCACCTGTTTAGTTCTGCTTTGATTAGATGTTATTCGGCCTGTTTTTCCCTGACAAAAGCTACACAAATAATATTTTTAATTCTGTCTCATTTTCTCCCCTTTGGCCTGTGTCTCTAGGCACTTACTGATGTGGATGAGACCTACCGGAAGCCTGTTCTGGGCAAAGCATATGAGCGGGACTCTTCACTGACTCTCACTAGGGTAGGCGGTTCCCCCGACCTCTTGAGTGCCCAGCTTAGGAGTTAGGATCCCTGAACCCCGTGACCAGGATTTCCTATAGGGAAATCCATGTGGCTGTATACCGGGTACCAAGTCTCCATGAGTCTCTCTTCTCATGCTTCCAGCTAATCTCAAATGAGTCTGTGCTTGGAATCTGCATATTATTTGAGCAGCAAGTTACTTCTTATAAGACTTGAAAGTCATTGAGCTTTATACCACAGAAATAAGCCTTTTCTCTTGACATACTTACTGATTTATCAGAGTTATGCCTAGAAATAGAAAATTTGACTGGGCGCAGTGACTCACGCCTGTAATCCCAACACTTTGGGAGGCTGAGGCAAGAGGATCACCTGAACCCAGGAGTTCGAGACCAGCCTGGGCAACATGGTAAGGCCTTGTCTCTACAATTAAAAAAAAAAAAAAACTAGCCAGGCGTGGTGGTGCACGCCTTAGTTTCAGCTACTTGAAAGGCTGAGGTAGAAGGATCACCTGAGGCCAGCAGGTTGAGACTGCGGTAGCCATGATCATGCCGCTGCACTCCACCCTGGGTGACAGAGTAAGACTCCAACTCAAAAGAAAGAAAGAAAATTCATTCCTAACTTTTTACAAATTGCAAAGCAATGGGACCGTAGGCCTTTTCGGTATATTGAAAAAGGGATGTCAAATGCTAAAGAGAAGGCTGATATTTGTCCTTGTTTGCCTTATAGCTATTTGATCGGCTGAAACTTCAAGATTCCTCCAAGAAGGAAGCAGATTCCAAGTCTGCAGTTGAAGATTCCACCCTGTCCAGATACTCCCAGACATCTACTTGGAAGGTGGCTTCAGTGTGGGGAAGAGGAGACACTGACCGGGGCTCACACAAGCGTTCCCGCTCTGTCCCGTCTTCCCTGCAGGCATCTGCAAGGGAGGAGTCCAGGTCAGAGCTGTCAGGGAGGACTACACGGACAGAAGGGTCCAGCATGGGAGGTACCTTGTCCAGGGCTACCACCCTTTCCAGGGGCCAGTCCCGTAAGAAAAAGCGAAAGCCCAAAGTGGATTACCAGCAGGTATTCACTCGACACATAAATCAGATTTTCATTCGAGGTGAGAATGTCCTGCTGGTGCATCTTGCACAGTGACCGGCTCGGCCTGAGCTTTGGTTTTTAGAAGTAAAGTGCATGAATTGCTGCTATGCTGTATCCTAGTATCCCAGTGAAACTCCAAGTTGGAATTATTCCCTCTGTCCTGCATGTGCAGAGGACAGAGCAGGCTCAGCCCTCTGGATGATGAGCACAAGGGGAGGACAGGCCTTGGGGGTCGGCATTACCATCAAGGCAAAAACCATGCAGAGGTGCATGCCTCGGACTTGGTATCATGGTTTACTTCAGACTCTGAAAGCAATTATAAGTTCTTCCATTTGACCTAGGGGGTCACGCTATGAATGGAGTTGACTTTTCAGAGACTATAGAAAAAAGCTGTCTCAAAAAGAATGATCGCATTTCTAAAAGCTAATGTCCCAAGGACTCAGGAATGTGATTCTAAGAGCAGCTGTGTCAATTGCCTTGGAGCTCTGCACCCACGTTGTAGAACTACCCTTTGAATTCTGTCCCACAACTTTTTGTCCCACACTGCACTTTCTCTCTTGATCAAGAAATGAAATTATCTCTGAAGATCTGCAGCGTCTAGGGAGTTGCCATTGCTTGTTGGGGTGGAGTTTGGAAGGTGGTGTGCTCCAAGAAGCCAGCATTTTATGCTGTTTTGATCCCTGTCCTCATTGTGGGAGAGAGTGCAGGACCTCCTAGTCTTCCCCTCTCCAGAGGCTAAGTAGCCTCTGCAAATGGCATGCCAGATGGGACCGTGAGATGCTAGTGTGGTGGCTTCTCGTCCTTCTCTCTGACTCGTGTGGCATGGTGCTAGCGCATGTACCCTGTGGTATTGCCCCTCTGTCTGTTGTGTGAACTGTCCTGTGAGCTTTATGGCAGGAGACTGTGACCTTCCTGTCTAGCTTCCACGAGTTCTGCACGAACTCTGTAATGCACACATACCACACGGCTGAGTCCCCACTCCGAGCGGGCTGGCCTTGTGGAGATTAACTGTCAGAATGGTTTTTCCACGAAACAGGGGTGATGGTTTTATTCCCTTGTGTCAGGCCAAAGATGTTCTTGCAAAGTCCAGTGGGTAGTGTCTGAAGGGACACTTTACTCACAGCCTGGCTTGAGTAATGGGAACACCATAGCACCCACGAATGTTTCTACTTGAATCATATCTGTGCTTTTCCAGTCACCAGTGCAGAATAGGCTGCATCTTGACACAGACTGTTAGGCAATATTGGTTTTTTGTTGTGTTAGTTTTTATCTGGTTTTATCTAAGATAACTTAAGTTCAAGGTGAGAATAAGAAATGACTAACTAGCTAAAACGTATGAAAAGAAAACTTTCCCCTGCTGCATTTGTTGTGTAGCTTAAGCCTTCTGAGAAGCAGAGTGAGTCAAGCCCAGGGTGCTGGGATCCTGGTCCTTCGGGCTGGACCCTGGCTCATCCCACAGTGAGACGTGAGCAGATGTGACCTCCGTGCCTCCGCTCTCCCTGCAGACACCTACCTCACAGGGGCATCAAGACAAAGACTCTTAGGAAGGCATTTCCAGTCCAAACATGTTCAAGTGCCACGAGTGATTTTTACTAACTCAATTTCATAGCTTTGTAAGAATTCTGTGTCTTATGAGCAAGGCAGGTGCTACATAAGAACATAGTGCTCACAGGTGTCCTAGTCCTGATCCTGTTGTAACTTCCATCGGAAGGCAGTGATATTTTCGAGATCTGTGTTCCCTTCCTTCCTCCCAAGGGACAGTGAAGGTTCTCTGGAGGATCTTCAGGAAGAGGAGAGGAATGCTTTTTTGCTGCTCCCCCACATCTCAGCTCCCAGCCTCTTCTGATCATTATCAGAAAGATCCCCAGAACTTTCCAAGGGGTGGACATGGTACTACCAAGTGGCGAGTGAGGATCTGAAAACAACATCCCCAACGGGGAACCTGTGGAATTTAAAAAAGTTTATTTACTTGTTTTTATTTTTAAATGCATTTTAGAGTATACTCTAGAGCCAGATCAGATACACTAAAGTTGGTAGAGAGTCCAGGATACAGACTCACGTGAACAGTTATATTTCGAATCTGCCGGTCTAAATTCTCTCCTAAATAGTGTCTGCAATCTCAGTCCCCAAATTAATAGTCATCTTGTCTGATCAGGCATGACTGCCTCTACCAGACTCCCCGTGTGGCTGCCTTTAGCCATCCGCCCTCTTATCCCTCACTGGAAGCTGTACTGGATACCCTGTTTTCCTAATATGTAGAAATTTGGAATCAAAAGGAGTCAATCTTCATTCCAATGCCAAATGAAATCTAATCTGATTTATTTTAAACGCATGTCTGCTTCTGTGTTTACTTGCAATTTTCATATATCCATATAAGGGTTGATTTACTATTTTCTGCCCAACATGACAACCGCTGGCTATGAAAATTGTTTTTAAACTGTGTGATCTGCTATATATCCCCAATTATTTCTTTGGTTTGGACAGTGACTCTGGAATGAATAAGATCTAGTAAATGTACCATTTTGTACAAAGCATGATCATTATTTTTTAAAGAAGTCAGTTTTTAAAAAGTATTGCCTTTTATTATTGGAAAGATTTTTTTAAAGGAAGAAAAAAACAGGTCCTAATAATGTATGTGTTACTCAAAAATTGTGATCATTGAGGACTTCTGAAAGTTGCTATGGAAATAACTCAGTGTTCTTCAAGAGAAGGAAGGAAAGTGGGGAGGGCGAGGAGAGTCCTGGCCACTCCCAGCAGCTTACCTCAGAGGGGCCTATGCAGCTGAAAGACACACAACGGGCTTCTAGGATTCTCCACAACTTGGAGCTTGGGAAGCTTGGTAAGAATAGTATTTATTTTCGAACATCCAACTTCAGTTCTTCAAAGTAATCTGTAGACATGAGAATGTGTTTTCAAGACAATTCACAGGCCATGCCTGAACACTTGGTGAGGTCTTCTCAGGAGTATCCATCTTGTTAGGTGATAACAAGTGATTCAGAAACAGAAGGGAGGGTTCTACATCCAGAGCAACTTCCTGTGCCATTCTTTGTACACAGAGGTGATCCTTTTGCTCTGCAGTTAGTAGAACTTGCACTTAGATGGTTTGTTCTAGTATCTGAAGAGCGTTTATGCTTTCTTTCAGGGACCATCGTGTGAACAGAGATAGGCTGTCTGGAGTCAGGTAACCACATTAGCAGTGTCTGAAGCAGGTGGCTTTAGACAGTACCTTGCTCTGTGCAAGGTAGATGACAAGTAAGAAAGCCAGGAACCCTTCGCACTAAAGTCTAGACACAGAAATCCTGGTTGGGTGTTGTTAGTGGAGTGGCTGTGTCTCCTCCAGGCAAAAGGGCCCGGGAGCACCGTAAGAGGTGATCAGGTCATGGGCAGTGAGCTGCCCTGAGTCCTCAGAAGCTCTGTGGAAATGTCGACGGAGCACTTCCCCCCTTTAGAGAGAAGGAAAGGAAGCCAGCCTTGGTGCAGAGTGGATGTTTATATTCCTGTTTGCCTATTTCCATAGCAGCTGACAGGGGGCACAATCATGAAATAGAGTAAGTTCCTTAAATGTTCTCTAAATGTTGCCTTTGGGAAAAAACTCAGACTATTCACTGGCAGCTAGCTGTCACTGGTGCTGCCCCGAAGCTTTCCCGTCCTCCCAGTAGTTTTGATGAATGAAAACGTTGCTGGAGGACGGTCAGGGTTCGAGTCAGAGAAGAGGGTCGGGTGTAAACACAATGGCTGCACGTGCTCGTTTTCTTTCTCTGTGCCCGGTTTAGAATGCAGCTGGCCCTTTTCTCAGTAGCTCGCGTCCGCCAGTCTGTGCTTTTCTTCTCCCGGAAGTTTGTCTCAGTGGTCGCAAAGCAAGAAACCTGTGCCTGCGTTGCAGAGGTGGGTGGTCTGTCGTCACCTGGCAGATATAACTGATGGATCGAAGAGACGCCTTGGGGGTTCCTGCCAGTTTCTGGGCTCTGAGGAAGGGCTGGGGCTCCTCTGTTCGCCGTGTTTTGAGTATTTTTCAAATGTTTGTAAGTTTTCTTGCACTCCTCTAATAAAAATGAAAGCTCTCTGTCAAGAAATGGCTTTGGATGGTTCGAGATCTAGGGGAAGGAAAATAAGGACACCTGAGACCTTCGGTTGGTCTTTTATTTATTTAGAATAAAAAGTAGTTTGATAACCTACCAGAGTTAGTGCTTCTTTAAAAACACTTTCTGAAAAGACGGGAACTGTCCCTTAGGAAAGCTGTAAACACGATTCCCAATACATCGCGATTGCTTTTGATTTTTTAATCCTTTGGAGCAAATGTCTGATGTTATGTCTGATGTTATGTTTTTAGAGCTGTGGGGGGGGAGAAGTCTGAAAATTTTTAAGGGGTATTATTTAAACAATGATAATCTGACTGAATTATGTGTGAGCTAGGATCTGGGGCAGCTGTCCACTTCTTTTTCTATTGTCCTGACAGTAAGGCAAAGAGTAAACCATGTCTTGCAAAGTGATTTGCTGATCTCCAGCTGACATCTAAAGACATCAGTCTTCCGTTTGGCAGCCCTGGGGATACCCCTCTGCACTGTAACTTATTCATGTTTGTTCAGACAAGGCTAAACCTGGATGACTCTGTGTATCTATAGTTTCACTCCTCATATACCAGCTGCTAAAAGAAAAACTATGACTTGTAATCTTGTCTTTGAATTACTCTTGATTGTTAAGTTAACCAAAACCCTTCCTGTTGAGGGAGGATTGCTGCTAGTAATGTCAGTTTGTGATGTTCTGCTTTAGAAGTGTCATTTGGGAGTCTGGAAACCGTAATAAATATGATTGTATTCATGTCCTGGCTACTTTGTCTCTGCTGATTTGGGGGAGGAGGCAGCCGCGTCTATTGCCACATGAAGACACCTCTTTAGAAAGTTAAAACATCTCAAGCCTTCTGCTGTCTCATGACTGTAAACTAGTGTCTTTTCTTTACCAAAGCATACACATCTAGATCACCATGCTTGAGGTAGTTTTTGTTTTGTTTTGTTTTGTTTTATTTTGGAGTCAGGGTCTTACTCTCTCTGTCACCCAGGCTGGAGTGCAATGGCATAATCACGGTTCACTACATCCTCGACCTTCTGAGCTCAGGTGATTCTTCTCTCTCAGCCTCCCAAGTAGATGGGACTATGGGCATGCACCACCACACCTGGCTAATTTTTTTATTTTTTTGTAGAGACAAGGTCTTGTTGTGTTGCCCAGGCTGGTCGTGAACTCCTGGCGTCCAGCAGTCTTCTTGCCTTGGCCTCCCAAAGTGCTGGGATTATAGATGTGAGCCAACCAGATGTAACTTTTTTCTTCCAAGTTTATTTGAAGTTCATGCTTAGAAAAGGAGCATGGCCCACGTTATGAATGATCTCTTCTAAGCTGCAAGCAACGATAATTACCCTATTCCACCTAAAAGCTCATTGGCATTCATCCACTCTCTCCATGATCTGCTGAAATCACCATTGATTCTGCTCCCCTCTGGGTGTTTTACCACATTTGGCTAATTGATCCTCACACACATCCAGAAATATATGAATCTGCCACCAGCTCTTTATTGGGCACGTACAGGAAGTTGAGCTGCACAAAGAGTTGCCACATTGATGACTTAATCCCTTCTGTGTCCCTCCAAACTGAGGCACCTGGTAAGGTAGACATAACAGTCTCATTGATTCTTGGAGGGGGAGACCTCAAGTTAACTGTCAAGACCCAATTTCCCCCTTTAAAGTGCGAAGGGGGCTGGGCTCAGTGGCTCTGCCTGTAATCCCAGCACTTTGGGAGACCGAGGTGAGTGGATTGCCCGAGCCTGCGGGTTTGAGACCAGCCTGGGCAACTTGCTAGACCTCGTCTCTACAATAAATCAAAAATTAGCTGGGCATGGTAGCGCGCACCTGTAGTTTCAGCTACTTGGAAGGCTGAGGCGAAAGGATCGCCAGAACCCAGCAGGTCGAGGCTGCAGTGGCTGTGAGCGTGCCACTGCACTCCTATCTGGGTGACGGAGTGAGACTCCAACTCAAAGAAAATAAAGGTGGGGAAAGGTCTCTTGATACACCACCTTGAGCTCAGCTGACGTGTGAAATTTCCAACCACCACGATGGAGGACAGGGAGGCAAGACCTACAGGCTGTAGGTCTGGTCCTTGTTTTGTACTTAGAGTTCTGATTAAATGAGAATGTCCTCATTCATCAAAATACAGACAGAAGAGTCAGCTAGCTTGACGTTTTAGATGAACAGTGACCATTAAATGTCGGCAGGGGAGTAGAGGCCAGCGGGATGGGACACATCCATCACCCTTTCCCTGTGCTTCCTGGATAGGCGTGGCTGGGGGAAAGGATGCTTCCGTCCACCACATTCTCTCCTTGGATAGAAATGAAGCGCTTTTCAGTCTGCTCAGCTACCACTAGGTGGCAGTGGGTTGAAGAAAACGGCCTGTCTGGAGGTCCAGAAGGATGAATCTCCTGGTCTCCAGTCCCTGCTGCAATTTATGTTAAAGGCTCACGAGTCCGGACTGAGCTATCAAGGAAACATCAACCCAAGTAGCAATATAAGCGTTTCTTTTCAGCATTGGGCTTACCTTAATTGAAGCTCAGAGAGCCGGGCGCACAGCATTCAGGTAGTGTGTGCTTGGGGAAGGGTGGGGAAGAGGGGTTCCCAGGGAATCTGTCTCCGTCCTCACACCATGGGACCCCTCATTTCTTCTCCAAATACCATCAACTCCATTCAGCCCCTTCCCACCTGCCAGCAAGGGGTGGCCCCAGGAGGACGGTCTGCAAGCCCTTGTTTCTCAGCAACTGTCACACTTTGAAACAATCCAGTTTTGCCCAAGATTGGTGCCTGGAAGTCCATTTGGGGAAAGACGGCTGCTCTCTTATGATTCTATGGCCAGAATTGAGCCCCCACTCCAGGCCTGGAAGCAAATATGCTCTTGAGTCAGAGGAAAATTTTTCTTTTTTTCTTTTCTTTTTTTTAAGGTAAAGAGTGGCGCTCAGCCGCCACCCCACAGGGACTGGTGGACTCCCTCCCCATCAAGTGATTTCTAATAAACAGAGGAAATCCTTTTGTTTTAGGTTGAGATGCTGGAGGCAGCAAGAGTGGGTGGACAGTGCTGGTCAGTCCCCTCACATGTCATACAAGGCCTTCCAAAGACCTTCCCTTCCCTGCTTCAAAGCAGACTTTTCAGCAGACTTTGGTAGACAGAAATACAGTATATGAGAACATAAATAGATACTGGTCTTCCAATGAATAACTCAGATTAGATTCTAATAAAAAAAACTTTCTTCATTTTATACTGTTTTGGTCCTTGGCAACTTGGTGCCACATTTCACTCAGTTACACTGTGTGAAGAGGGAGGGGACAGATCATGCAAGAAATACTGTCAGTTTTGAACATTTCAGCCTTGTGCTAAGCATAATGCATGCACTACCTTGTTCAGATACCACCATAAGAGGAAGACTTTATCCCCATCATACTTGTGAGAGGACTAAAGCTCACAGAGGTTAAGAAACTTGTCAACATCTCTCTGCAAATAAATGGTGATTTGGGATTCTATTCAAATCTCTCTGGCTCTTAAGTTGGTTACCCAATTGTACCTTAAAAATCTTAAGTGTGGCTGGGTGCAATAGGTCACACCTGTAATTCCAACATTTTGGGAGGCTGAAACAGGAGGATTACTTGAGACCAGAAGTTTGAGACCAGCCTGGACAAGATAGCTAGACACCGTCTCTACAAAAAATTAAAAAATGAGCGGGACATGGTGGCACATACTTGTAGTCCTAGCTGTTTGGGAGACTGAATTAGGAGGATCATTGGAGCCCAGGAGGTTGCAGCTGCATTGAGCCATGATCACACCACTGCACTCCAGCGACAGAAACCCTGTCTCTAGAAAAAAAATTATTTAACTCGGAAACTTGGAGGGTAAGCTGAGCCATCCCCTTAGACAAATCAGAGGACCAAATTAGAATACGGCTTGGTGGCTTGTTTTAAGTGTCTAGTCCCTTCTGATTCACCCTGTTCCTTGGCTAGCAGTGGACACGGACACACAGGGCTTCACGAGAGAACCAGAGATGTGGGCAACCCCAGGGCAGCAAGCCAGCTGTGGCCCTGGGAAAAGTAGCTGCAAATGAGTGTTGGGAGCTATTTGCCCATAGTTAGTTTGACCCTGGAAGGGATACTGATTCCACAGTCTTGTTAAAAAGAAGATGGGTGGCAGATCGTCTCTCTATCTCTTCAGCATGCATTGAGAAGGCCGCCATTCCTTTCCAGTATTAACCAACACTTGGGAAGCACGCTTTGCCTTGGCCTTGACTACAAATTCATCTAATTAAAGAAACTTCTCAAGACCAAACCGTGGAGGGTCTAAAACTACAGAAAGAATGACGATTACCTGAAGGCCTTTCTCCTGAGATCTAAAAGAGGGCACAAGCCGTCTGGCCATCTTGTAAAATTGCCCTTCAACTTGATGTGTTAATTTGCAGAATATGGCAACCCTGGGAGGATCCTTGGCTCTTTCACTCATGGCTTTTTTTTTTTTTTTTTTTTTGAGTCAGGGTCTCACTCTGTCACCTAGGCTGGTGTGCAATGGTACAATCACAGCGCACCACAGCCTCAACCTTGTGAACACAAGCAATCCTTCTGCCTCAGCCTCCCAACTACAGGTGCGTGTCACCATGCCTTGCTAATTTTTGTATTTTTTAAAGAGACGAGATCTTGCTCGCTGTGTTGCCCAGGCTGGTCTCAAACTCCTGAGCTCAAGTGCTCCTCCTGCCTCGGCCTCCCAAAGTGCTGGGATTACGGGCGTGAGCCTCTGTGCCCAGTCTCACTCATGACTTCTGAGCCTTAGTTTCCTGATCTCTAAAAAAGGAACAATACCACCCGCTTCCTGGGTTTGTTGATGTAAATGGGCTTGGCCCACACAGCAAGCACTTAACGTCAATTCTGCGTGACATTTGCTGCGTGAGATTTTGCGACTTTCTTAACTTCCCCATGGCTCCATCCTGTGCCCTAAGACCAGACCTGGCCGACAGCAGCAAACGGACGCAGCAAAATTTTGTTTCCCTCCTTTTCCCAGCACGCAGGTGTTTGCAAGAGCCTCCAGGCTGGCCGAGCTCTCTATGCTTCGGCGATTGGCTCTTCCTGGGCTACCGCTTCAGCCTGTCATCAACCTCCCACTGCTGGAAGGGCGGCGTGCTCCCCCAGGAATGACTTTAGGCTACACGGGACATTCATTAGTTGGGGTTATGAAGGGGCCACAGGGCCCTGGAATGGTAATTTCCTACATGGGACCCCAGTGACCCGGCGCGAGCTAGCTCAGCTGGCCCAAACGTGTGGCTAATGAGGGAAGGGTTACGGTTTCTCTCCTGTGTGGGCCAATTAGTGGCACGTGGCAGACACGCTCCTGGGGCATCAGGCAGCAGCTTACACGTGTATGGCCCTGGTCACGGGACGGCTCAGGGTGGCTATCGCCACTGTCAGAAATCCACATCAAAGCTACATCGTACCTACCGTGACATGGTCCAGCGTTTCCAAAACTTGGGTCATTTCCAGAGCTCCTTTGCAATTTTGGCTTTGTCCTAAACCGACCAGTGCATTTTTGTGTATTCTATATAGATAGAAAAGATATAGATATAATATATACATATATAATGTATACATATATTTTCTAGAGACGAGATCTCACTATGTTGTCCTGGCTGGTCTCGAATTCCTAGCCTCAAGCAATCCTGCTGCCTCGGCCTCCCAAGGATTACAAGCATGAGCCACCACACCCAGCCTATAGTTCTACAAATTGACTCATTTTAAAATCTACACTCAAAAGGAAGCTAT